TAATATTATTGTAATAATTTAAACTATTTATTTTTTATTAAAGTTTTTACGAAAGATATATATCCAAGAACAGATAGTAAATAATAAATAGTAAAACGTTGCTGTGAGTTATAATGGACAGGAAGTAGTGGAGAGCCATTGTCGCCAACAATTTGGACTCAAAACCGGCACTGAAAAATTATCTATCAAACAGAAAAAATTCATCGAAATCGGATGAAAACAGTGGAAACGCATAACACAACGTCCGATCAAACACACACACACACAAATACATACACACATGAGAATTATAGATATAAGATACGCGCATCTACTATCACCTGTAATTTACAGTAAAAAATGCGTATTATTTTCGAGAAATTATTGTACATAGATCTAGATATATACCATGTAGGCCTGAGCATGGGAAAATAATATGCCGTTATAAACGTATATCTTGAGCATTTGTTTGTCCAACGATTCGTGTTTCCGTTTTATTTTTTCATCTTTTCATTTACTTTCGTCATAGTCGTAACATTTACACGTAAGCCGTAAATAAGTAAAAAAAAAAAATGAAAGGGGTTATAATTTTTTTTGCTTTTCTTTTTTTTTTCTTTTCTTTTTTTTTTTTTTTTTGACACGTCATTAATAATAATTGTTTTGGAGAAATTGATTTGTGACGCGATCATCAAGTGTTTATTCCGAAAATCACTTCATCCTACTCGGGGTATTTAAGCCGAACTATCTACACCTGACACGAAGAGGACAGGAAAGAGAGAAGCGATGACATTTAATGGGGGAACAATGCACGTTTAACAGCTCCTGTCTCGCTTCTTCTTTCAAGGGGAATGGCGTATAATAAAAGGCTTCTGTATCTCAATAAAACGTCCCTTGGTCACTAGTTTTGCCTCCTCCAGCAATATAATAGCTTTATAATTGACCATGGTCCAACTACGTAGGGCTATAAAGATTTTGATTAGTTTAGGTCTGGGATACATAAAGTGGGCGATGCCGCACCTCTGGGAGCGGGGGAAAGATACAAGGGGTAGTGAGGAAAACGAGAGCGGTCTAAGGTAGAAAGGAGGGTGGGGCAGTGAGGCAGTATTGTGGAATGATGACCAAGTAATATTTTTTCTTACATTTTTTTTTTTTTTTATAAAATCTTGGTTGAGGATTGATTGATTTATTTTCTACAGTTTATCAACACTTAAGAATTTCGTTATTTAAAGATAATGAAAATTTTTTTAGATTTTAAGATTTTTTTTTTTTTACAAAATTTAAGTTGACGATTGATTGATTCATTTTCTACGGTTTATCAACATTTTGTAGGTTATTTAAAGCCAGAAAATATTTTTAGATTTTAAGATTTTTTTTTTTTTACAAAATTTAGGTTGACGATTGATTGATTCATTTTCTACGGTTTATCAACATTTTGTAGGTTATTTAAAGCCAGAAAATATTTTTAGATTTTAAGATTTTTTTTTTTTGAGATAATAATGATTTTGTGATATAAATCTTACTAACTAACCCATAGCTGTGTGGAGAAAAGACGTATTCATAGCTTTCCCAGGGTTGATTACGCGTAAGTGAATATAACAAAATGAACTGAAATTAGAACTCAGCTCTTCGATTAACCATTCCGAGCAATTATCAATTAAATCACCCGCACGTTCCAGCTTACGTATTCCGAAGCGGTCGCCCGTCTAGGTAACGACCAGGTTCGACGTGGCTTAACTTTGGTTATCGTAAGGGAACATGTACTTCAATGTGATGTAGCCATAAGCCGAAAAGAGAAGGAAGAGAAGGAATAAAAAGAAAAAGAAAAAAGAAAGGAGAAGAAAAAGAAAAAAAAGGAGGAGGAAGAGAAAGGATGAAGAAAAAGGAGAAGAGAGAGAAAGAATGAAGAAAAAGAAAGGAGAAGGAAGAGAAAGACTGAGGAAAAAGAAAAAAGAAAGAAGGAAGAGAAAGAATGAACAAAAAACAAAGTAGAAGGAAAGGAAAGACTGAAGAAAAAGAAAAAAGAAATAAGGAAGAAAAAGAAAAAAAACAAGAAGTAAGAAAAAGAATGAAGAAAAAAGGAGAAAGCAGAGAAAGTATGAAGAAAAAGAAAAAAAACATGAGAAGGAAGAGAAAGAATGAAGAAAAAGAAAAAAAGGAAGAAGGAAGAAAAAGAATGAAGAAAAAGAAAAATAAAGGAGAAGGGTGAAACGAATACAGAAAAAGAAAAAAAGATTGATTGATTTGTTCCTTACGGCTTAAGTCAACTTTGCAGAAAATATTTTCAGATTGTACGATTTTTTAGATAACAATGGTTTAGTGATACAAGTCTTACTAATTAACCCATAGATAGGGGGAAGTGTTGGTTTTATACATTTCCCAAGGGTATTTGCACGTTAGTAAATATAACAAACCAAGCGGCAGTTTGAAACCGACTCTCTGTTTAACAATTCTGAACTAGTATCCATTACACCACCCGCACATCATATTTGCAATACGTACTTAAATTGAAGGAATACATATGTTTTACAGAGTATAAAATTAATATAACAGTTAGTTTTGTTTTTCTGCTGCCTGAAATAAGAAATCCGAACGTTCGTTTATATATTGCAGATGTTATCGGATCTGGTTCCATTAATCTCCAGCGAGATTACACAGATAAATGTCGTTAATACAAATTTCCTGCAATGTTACACGAAGGTCGGCTGAAATGTTTATTGGCAGACTATGAAAGATCGATGCAAGAGCTGTGTCATCTTGCCTGCATTACTTTCAACTTTTCTTATTAATGAGAAGCTGCTCCAGCAAAGTAAGTTTCTTTCCAGGTAAACTGGCATATGGTTGTTCCAAGAAGTCTTCAAAAATAACTACTTTCGACATCTCTTGAATTTAGAGCATGTCTTACATAAGTGCTTCTTTTTAGCATCAACTAGTATACCCCCCCCCATACACATATAGATACAGTGGGGGGGGGGGAAATAAATATTCGTACACCATGAAATTTTTAAATCAACATAGGTATAAATTATGAAAAACTCAAATCCATAAGGTTTTTCTACACCATTGCATCATGCTGAAATATGCAAAAAAAAAAAAGAAAACTTTGTTAAAAATGAAATTATATGTTATTTATAAAAATTCCAAGCAAAAAAAAAAGGATTCGTACAAAATATATCTTTAATCTCAAAAGGCTTAAATTACCTTTATTTACATAATTCTTTGCAAGATTTTGCTGGATTCTTCCAATTATCTTAATACCGGAACAATCTAGAACATGCCGCAATTGATTTCTTATACAAGGTTATCTTCGTACACAAATCATACGCAATAATTATCATCATGGAGAAAGGCGAGGAACTATCAAATTCGCAAAAAGAATTGATCATCAAATATTGAAAGGAAGGAAGGAAAAAACTATAGGAAAATAGTAGATATCCTGAATATACCATTTACTACTATTAGTTCCGTTATTGCTAAGTATAAAAATGGGAAAACTGTTGAGAACAAATCAAGATCTGGTGCATCACGCAAGATTTCTCCCAGATCAATGAGAAGAATTCAGCGCAGTTTCATGAAAATCCAGTGTCTACTCTGAGAGAAATACAGGAAGAATTAAAAGCATCAGTTATTTTTTTTTTTTTTACAAAGTGAACAATAATTAATGAACTTTATAGAAGTCAACTAAGATCGTATTCTCCAAGAAAAACTCCACCACTATTGAAGAAACATAGGGATGCTCGATTAAAATTTGGTCGTGAGCATACGAATAAACCTGAATCAAATTGGGAAAATGTTTTGTGAAAATATGAAGCAATAATTGAACTATTTGTGCGTAATTCAAGGACTCATGTTTGGAAGATTCTATTGGCCAGCGTGAGAGCCAACAACTGACTGACAGGAATGTTAACTAGCATGGTAGCATGCAAAAAAATCAACAGCTGCATTCGTCACAAGTGGGAAAAATTTAAATCTGCATGGCACTTTATTCCAATTGGCTCATTCGCTTGCTTAAACTCAACGTTGATTCTGATTCCGCAGAACTAGGTTAGGTGTGAAAAAGTATTTGTTGTTAACATTCTTTTTTCATTCGGTTTTTCCAGTTACGATTCCTTTTTTAAAGCTGATCGTTTTGTGTTCATTTTGTTTAGTCCTTTTTTCGTAACAGATTTAATGTTTAGTATAAAGCTTAGAAAAAATTCGCAGTGTGTGATAGGCAAGAAGTAAGGCTTGTAGCAACATCAGCACAGCAAAGGGAACTCCTTTAAAGGCAAGGAAGGGCAAAAAATATTTTAAGTCAAGTGATAGCGATTGCTGTATGAGTCGTACGATTTTTGAATCAAGCACGGGCAACGCCGGGCCATGCTGCTAGTCAAATATAACGAACCCAACGGGAATTGGAACTCTCTCCTGTTAACAATTCCGAATCGTTATCCATTACACCTCCCGAATATCCAAGTCAATAGTAGCTGGTACTTCCAAGCGGTCACCCATCTAGATACTGACCAAATTCGACGTTACTTAACTTGATCGTACGGAAGCCGGTGTTTAAAGGTGATGTGGTCGTAAGCCCGATATCAACGGTGAATAAATAATTACTATTATTAACAGTGGCAAAACACGGGCGTTATTGGAAACAATAGACGATCCTTTTCCCCCATCATCATGGACACTGTAAGCAGAATGATCAAGCCCCGCTCCTCAATATGCTCCAGCACCCTTCCTGTTGCTTTTCTATTTTGGGTCTCTTATTTCCTTTCATTTCTATTCTCAATATAGACTACGTCATTAACGCCCTCAACCAGCGACTGGTTTCGGCACAATTAACTATTAATCGTAGCGTACGCACTGGGTGAATGAAGTCCTCGTAGATATCGTTCATTCATCTGTTAAAAGTTTCCTTGTCTGTTCGGAATCAAAAAAAAAATGAACAGGATCGTCTCGCGTATTATACTTCAACTTTTTGTTGCGTAGGAAATTGCAAGAGTCATCAAGTGGTAACAGTTTACATCTTACCTTTTTTTTAACTCGTCCCGATCGCTGAAGTTAAGCAACGTAGAGTCTGGTCAGTACCAAGACGGGTGACCACTTGGGAATACCACGTGCTATAAACTTGTATGTGCGCGTAGTATAATGGATGAAAACTCAGAATTGTTAATTGGGGAGAACCGAGTTCAAATCCAGTTGTGTTCGTTATATTCACTTAGGTGCAAATACTGTTGGGAAAGGCATGAGCCACCTCTTCTTCCCCCTCCCCCAGCTATGGGTTAATTAGTAAGACTAAAACCATTATTATCACCAAAAACATTAAAAAAAATCGTATAAAATATTTAGATTTCGGCATTAAATATTTAGATTTCGGCATTAAATAAATACAGGTTGAATAAAAAAAACAATGAATATTTTCCTGGAAGAAAGACATTTCAAAACACACCTGTTTTTTAATACGTATTGTCCTGGCGTCAGTTGAAGCTGAAGCCTTCTAGTTTTCCATTTTTGTTATTTTGGTTATAGTTCATATTTTCTTCTTTTTCCTTTTAGCTCTTAATAAATTTTGTCTTTCTGTTATTTCTCCGAAAACACTGTTCCGTTATTCATTTACTTACCAATTATGCCATGCGTTATTTTCCTGTCCCTCTTGCTTCAATCTGTCCTGTGAATATCAGATTTTCCAAGCCTTCCATCCTCATTATGTGCCCTAGAAACCTCAACTGTCTCTGCCTGATGTAAAGTATAACTTACCTTTTTATTTTCTCTAAAACTTTGCCGTTGCTCCCATGTTCGGCCCATGGTATTCTCAGCATCCTTCAGTTGAACCATGTTTCTGTTGCTTCAAGTCTCTTCTGCATCTTTGAGGAGAGTGTCCAGCACCCACTGCCATAAAAGAGAACAGATATCACGTAACAAGTTTAGTTCTCTTTTTCTTGTTTCTAGCGAAGTTTTCTGTTTCTTAGTAATCTGCTTTGGCATAAAGTTAATATTTTCGTAAGGGAAGCTTAATTGAAATTTATTGAAATTTTCGCATTCGAAAATTATAGTTTACATGTATAGATTAGATGTATAGAAAAGAAGATGGCGTCATTTTAAAAAGTAGGTTTTGTGTTGAAACCAGAATATTAGTAGAAAAAGGTCAGTCTGTTTGGTGTATAAACTAGATGATTATTAAATACCGTCTTACATATCACATGTCTTTGTATCTAGTTATAACACTAAATTCTCATTTTTTTGTAATATACCTCATAAATATGTTGTACGCTATTGTAAATGGGGGGTAATATGTTGTCTAAGCTGGCAGCGTGAGCTGTTAGTGTAGGAAGCTCTTGCCGTGTCGAACTCTCTGCCTTAAGTATTTTGAATATAACTAGAAATATTGTTTTGAATTTTATTTATTTATATTTATTTATTATTATTAATTTTTGTTGATTTTTGTATTACAGTTATTCAGACCATCATTCTAGAACCATTTAGTAAACTGTATAAGTAAATCTGAAATTCTGTGGGACTGTGGTGTTTACAAAGAAAAAATTTAAAAATCTGTATAAATTAAGATTTTGTAAAACAAATTAGATTCAAATTATAGAAAACAGATTGAAACATATTCTGTTAATTAATAAGTGTCGGCAGAGTCTCGTCCAGGGAGGTAAACAGATATCCCGTGTATGCAGCGTCTACGGGTAATTTTTGCCCGAGCCCAGGGGCTCGGATTTCCCTACATTAAATTTGGCCTTGTACCTCATCCTACCTCGTGGAGGGAGCAGGTAAATATCATAATCTGCTGTCTAAGTGGTTCACCACTAGCAGTGGTTTACCTACTTCACGCCGCTGGCGAGTATTGTATTTTGTTGATGTTATAAAGATTAACCTTTCATTTCCAACCTTCGTTTTGGTTATTCCTCATTGAGTAACCCTTTCCTGGGTTACAACAGGATCAAAAAAAAAATCTTGTGTGTAACGAATTATTTTCCACCCTTAAAACTTTCTCCCACCGGCGTGGCGTGGCGTGGCGTGGCGTGGCGTGGCGTGGCGTGGCGAACCTCTCACTGCTCTCTCGCTATTTCCATGGAAAGAGCTCGAAAGGACTACATTGCTTAGTTCCGCCTGGTCTAACCCTTACGGTTAGGACCCGCCATGCCACTTACATAGTTGCAACCACACACTCATCCCATCCGTATTCAATCGGTGAAATATAATTTCCACTCGAGCAGCTTTTTTCCGCCCTGTGGAACAAACTTCCAAGAGGATGTTCCCCCGATCACTACAATCTTAAACTGTTCAAGTCTAAAATTAACCGTTATCTCCCACCCCCCCATCCACACCGTATAAACTGCCCCTTAACCTAACACTCTAGCTCGAGAAGCCTTTGGGCTATGTATAGGGTGTACCTTCGGTAAAAAATAAAAATTACTTTAAATCTTTTTTATTATCAGAACATTTCGCCAATTTTGCCCTATGTACCTCATCAAGTACTTGTTAAAGCCAATAAAATAAAATTTGATAAATATAATAACAATGGGCGTGCTTAAAAAACACGTATTAACGATGAGATAATAAAAAGAATGACCTGGCAATTAAAAAACAAGAAAATGAATGCGGCAAAACGGAAAGAAGTCGATAAAGTGGGATGAGAGATAAGTTTGTGAGGATTGAGGGAAAGAGGAGTTCGTAATCACCATTAGACTCATCCAACTCTTTCAGAATCCTCTGCACTGTCGACGACACAAACACTCTGAAATGTTCGTATTGTAGCTTCCGGTGCGAAAGCCAAGCATTACAGCATGACGTTTACGAATTTCTGGCGGAGTGAATTGCATCTCGGTGCTCTTTTTCTTATAATCTCCAACTGGACCTCGACTACTTTGCACTCGGCAAAATCAAAAACAAAGAACGCGCATGTGCGAAATGGCGTCAATTTACCTATCGCATCCTCTGTGTGTGTGTGTGTGTGTGTGTGTATATATATATATATATATATATATATATATATATATATATATATATATATTTCCTATAAACATTACATTTTTGAGTAGAAGCCCTGTATTTTTTAACAGTGTTGATTACATCTATCGGAATAAATGTTGGATTAAAATATATAAAACATTAATTCTTTAAAAATTATATATATATATATATATATATATATATATATATATATATATATATATATATATATATATATATATATAGCTGATTGGTATTGGCAACCATTCTAAAAGGTTGACTCGGTAAAACACTGATCCACTGTAGCACTCGTGTGGATATGTAATCGACCGAAAAACACACACACACACAATGAATTTCTTAAATTACGTGAGTTGGCACAATCTGCCACAGGTTGAAATGGCGTCTACATTTTAAACATAAACCTCTTTGCTCATGCGTGGAACTTTTATAACATCGATTGGTGAAAACCTGTTTAACAAAACATTAATGTTTTCCGCTTGTGATTGCTAATCAATTCGACCTGGTCATTGGCCGGCTATTTTTACAGGTATGCTCGTGGTTTAAAAGAATCATGATCCAGAAAACGATTTCAATAAAGAAAAAATATAGTATCTTTATGACAACGATGAAAACATTCTAACTTCTCGTGGGTGAGATTTTTATTTTTTAAATTCGTGCAAATTTTAAAAAAATAATAATAATTAGCTCTGTTTTTTCAACGCGGAATCAATGTCAGTGATCGGTCATTTTTTACTAGGCATGCGCGTCATTTTAAAAGAAGTTGACCCTTCACCTAGAAAAGCGTTAATCGATAAAGAAAAAAAAACGTTTATGGAAATGATGAAAACATTTCAACTTTCTTGGGCGCATTTTTCTTTTTCAATGTTAAAAAAAATTCGAGTAATTTTTTTTTTAAATTTTAATATTTAAAAAAAAAAAAATAATTAGCCATATTTCCGACACGAAATCAAGGTCTAGAATTACCGTCAGAACAATGCTTGGGGTTGACAGTATCATATCAAAGAAATGAAGAAGTCTTTTTCTTTATAAAGTTATTTGTGATTGTATGTAGTCGTGAAAATGACCTCTGCCCCAAAGATTGTCTGATGAATTCATGTGCTTGGGTGAAGGTTTAAATACCCTTGTGTTTATTATCGCTTTGATTTGTCCCTTCCGACCTTTTCTTATTTTGGTGTCTATTTTTACTCCCTTCTTTTTCTGTTTTTCTTTCTTTTCTTTTTTTTTCTTTCTTTCTTTCTTGACTGCGAACAACTTTCATTCAACTCCAAACGTAATTAACGCAAACTACTTTAGTCACGGAGAATATATGTCAGTGGGTCGAAGACATACTGTATTGTCTAGCGGCTTAATTCAGCTAATAAGAGGAGACTGCTCAGAAGACTTGGTCGGGTGTTGTCTTTTGCCTCGAGTCAGCTTAAACACACACACACACACACACACACACACACACACACACACACACACACACACACACTCCAATTATTCAGCCGTACATGCATAACCTACAATGTATGGTGATTAGATCGACACTTGCGCTGGCAATACACGAATAAACTCATACAGCAATACGAATACACCGGTGCATACAAAAGACTATATCACTTTCTATCTATCTATCTATCTATCTATCTATCTATCTATCTATCTATCTATCTATCTATCTATTAGTTTCTCTCGCTTCTCTCTCTCTCTTTATCTAAGTTTGTTCGTATCTATCTATCTATCTATCTTAATTTAAGTCTAGTCAGATCTATCTATCTATCTATCTATCTATCTATCTATCTATCTATCTATCTATCTAATTCTGGTCAGATCTATATATCTAAGTCTTGTCAGATCTATATATCTAAGTCTTGTCAGATCTATCTATCTTTCTATCTATCTATCTATCTATCTATCTATATATATATATATATATATATATATATATATATATATATATATATGTGTGTGTGTGTGTGTGTGTGTGTGTGTGTGTTTGTGCGCGCGTGTGTGTGTGTATCTTGCTTATTCGGACAGCAATCTTACATGAATGTTTGGTTAAAGACCAACGAAAGTTCTTTATTTAGTATGTCTTTCATTCATTTTCCTTCGAAATAACTGATACTGAGATATCCGTAAGAGGCATGGTACATGGAACTAGAATAATCTACCTCGCTGGATGAAACAAAGGGTTCGATCGAAATCCCAATCACCTGAAGAAGGCCGGAGCGTACAATGGCCGAAACGCCGGGAATATGGCAACAAAGATGAGGACAACGGTCCAAACAATGTAAATAGTGAAAATAATTACAATACCTCATCTCAGAAACATAAACAGATATTGATAGAATATCTATGAAGTATAGACAGATATTAATAGAAACGTCTTTGTAGCGGTATTGATGGCCTAAATCAACCCCTATATTTTTTTATTTTTTTTTTACAAATGAGTAAGCAAACGAAATGCAAACAAGAGAAACAACACAAAAACTTTTTTTTACAATAACAAACTTGTGTCGAAGTATTTATATCCAACGTAGTCACGTGATAGGCAAAGACAGATTTTGACGGAATTGTATTTTTGTTCAGGTCAGGAACTAGATTGATGTTATTCCGACGTAGATGAGAACATGATTTAAATATTAACTGACCAATGAGAAGTGAGAAAAATATCAAGGCTCTGTGATCCACTTTTTGCATGGATTCTTCTATATGTTCATTGTGGGTATTGTGTTTCTTTCATGATTTTCGAATGTCGTGTAATGTTTGTCATATTATCTTTCTTTTCTTTTCTTTTAAAATCTCATTTTTACGCATCAGTTTGTTTGTATCGTATCCTTTTTTTTTTTCGTAGTGAAAAATATTTTGTTTGTTCCTAAGTCGAATGACATTTTATTGATATTGTGTTTGATTTTTATCGTTAATGCTTGTTGTATTTCTACTCTTTCTTTTACATTTCAAATGATATAGTATTCTTTTCTATTTTTGATGTCTGAGGATTTTCCTGTTGTCTTTTGTTGTGTTGGTTGATGTTATGAGATTTCATTGAGTTATTATCGGATAAATGGCAAGTTAATCGGCTCGATAATGTAGTGATTGTGTAACCATAGTCTATGTTTGAATTCTCCTTAGACATTCATGTTTTAAGTAAGCATTTGTAGATAACATTAGTTTCTGAAGTTGTTTTTTTTTGTACGGTTTGTGGTGATCATTTTATATTTTTTTAGCTTTATATGTTTTCAATTTTTTTTATATATTTTTAGTTTTATATGTTTTTTTTTTAAATTTGATATAAAGGATATCGATAAATTCTGTGTGCAGTATAAAATGCTTTTAGTTTTTTAACTGCAAAAAGGATAAGAAATCTTGATATGTCTAGATTTTCTTGTCTCGGAAAATTTATTTATTATTAGTTTTTCAGCCCCTTGAAACTCCAAAATAACTTATTTTCTTTTTACAAAATTGCTGTTTAACTCTATTTCTTTTTATATAATTTAATTTGCACATGGGCTTTATGGACACACTAAATATATGCTCATCATTTCATATAAAATTAGATATCTTCAAAAATATATGCTCATCACCTCATATAAAATTAGATATCTTCAAAAATTTTCTAAAAAATGAGTATACCTGGATAAAAAAAAACGGCCCAAACTTGATAATAATAAAGTTTTATCGCCATTTTTTTTGTTTTCATTAAGAAGAAAGATCAAAGTATTTTTATATTATTTTATTATATTTTTTAATTCTCTCTAGCACGTTCGAAATTTTGGTTAAAAATCTTGTTTTTCTTGCGTCAACGGAAGGGTCAAAGATTATTATAGTGATTTTTAGCGTCTTAGCGTTAAAACACATTGTTTTAGAAATTCTTGCAAAAATCAAATAATTGGACTTGAAATAAATTTTCATACATATTCACAGATGAATTAGATACTTTTTGAAATTTGTTATTTGTTTGATAATCTTGGAAAAAATTTCGTATACATTTGTAATTTTTTCATTTTAGGTGTTGCGTCTTATCTGTATATGGCCTACCATGACTCTCCACAGCTTCTTGTAATTGCATTACTAAGCAAAGGCCAATTTTCCATTCCTGCCAGTCCCTACAGGCTGATGCTAACGAACACTCGTTGCCACTTTTGTGATGTCAACGAAACATCGTTGACACTTTTGCGATGTCATCGAACCATCGTTGACACTTTTGTGATGTTAACGAACGATTACACGTTGTCACTTTCGTAATGCTCGTTGTAGTAGAGACTTTAAAATCGCAAATACAACTATATTAATGCCGTTGAACAATACTGGAATATCACTCGCACTAATTGTACTTGCTCGACAATACTCGCTCGAATAGTAGTCCGTGTAGCGATCGGAATAGAGAAATGGTATAATGAATAGAGTATAGATTAGAGGCCCGTATAGTAATAGAGGATAAAGTAGAAATAGTGATCCGAATAGTAATAGAGGATAGAGTAGAAATGGCGATCCTATAGACGTCATACGATTCCTACTTATACGTTTCCTCTATGCTCACGTGGTCTACTTCATTCAGTAATGGGATCGCCAGTGTTTGCTCACTGGTGATCTATGTCCAAACTCAAGTGTTGGCAGCGACAATTTATTCCTATATACTTATATGTTCCATCCATGATATTCACAGCATCTTTCTGGAGAATCATAACTCTCTTCTTCATCTGTGATGAGAATGTCCAGCATTCACTGACATGTCTAAAAGATTGCCCTGCGTCTGATATTCGAAGATGAGACCTCGGATGTATTTTAGCCCCAACTGTACGCTATAATTGTACCTCAGATGGCCATTTCTACTTTGGAGTCTATAATAATATTAATTAATTAAACGCCATTCTTATTATTTTATTTCTTTCGATATCTGTTGTATACACATTTCCTTCCGGGTCCCAGCCAGAGACATAGGTCAGCAATAACTTCATGACATTTTCTACTGATTATTTTTGTAAAAAAACAATAACACCCTAAGATCATACACATTTTACAGAGATAAATCTCTTCGTAATGTGTTTGCTGTACTTGTGAGTACAATTGTTTGGATTTCTTTCCGCCTCCTTCGGATTTGGAGACATACAGACGATCAGCATCAGCCTTAAGATGATGCATGCAGTGGCAAGTGAGAGGCTTTATCGTTTTGACATGCATTCGCTTAATGTCAGCTATGGTTTAGTGAATTCAACTCGGTATTTAACACCAGCAATTTCCTGTCCTTTTTGGCTTTTAACAGTGTTTGTCTCTTCCAATCCCTGTCTTGACAACCATTTAGACAAGCTTGTTAAGTAGGTTATTCTCCACTTTCATTTGTCTGTATTGCCTTCAACATGGCGTTTTTCTAAGCGTAGCTTAGATGTGGCACAAGACTGAAAGTATTGTGAAATTAGCGAGCTCGAACTCTCTTCTCAGTCGTAACTGTTCTAGCGAGACAATCTTGCTAACCATTGCCCCACGTCGAGATGCCCCGTCTTGCTTTCAACACGCCCTGCGATTGTTAAGCTAAGTGTGTTATCATTTCTAATATTTTATCATTACAAAGGAAGAATTAGTAATGATAAAACACTAATCTTCTATATAAATAAAGCGATGTGTACGTGTGTCCGTCCGACGTTTTTCGATCTTGGCGAATCATAAACAATCAGGTAGTAACTACTACACCTACACGCGATTAAAAATTAAATAAATAACTCATTTAAAGTTAAATTTAAATATCGAACAAAGTGAAAGATTTTTTTTTAATTCTGTATTAAAGGTTTAAGTTTAATTTCACTTTTCGCCGTAATTGCTATTGATACCCTCTAATTAAACGTAATTAAAACTTCAGCGGGGTACGGTACGTTGCTCATGTGTTTTCTTTTTCTTTTTATAGCACATGTGCTGTGACGTACCCGAAATATTACATAGTTTGGCTTCCCTAATGTCTTTCAAGAGTGACTTTATATGAAGATTATGCCGAATTAAGATAAAATAGTTTTATTATTTCTAAATTCTTATAACTTTTACTTTTACCAAAAGCACTCTGTAGGAGCTAGCCTAAAATCCGCCCAAATGCGGCTACTAGGCTAGCAACTTAATATTAAGGCTGTAGAGAATTAAGTCTATCATATTATTCGGCCAATGAAGACTGACTAGTAAACTGCTGGGTGTATTTACATGTGGTTAGTACGTTAAGTAGAGATGGTTGATATCGATACATACGTCACTGGCAGTGATTTTGCGTCGACAGAATATTTCTAGGCTTTGAAATAGTGTTTCTCGACATTTTTCTTCTTTTTTTTTTAAATCCAGTCCGCACTATTAGAATAACTAAACCTCTGGGTCGCACTTTAAATTTAAAATAAGTAAAAAATAGTCATGAAATTTGAAAATATGAAATTTTGGTTTAACATTTACAAAGAAGATTAGCAGCACAGTTTTCATTTAAAGGGATTTATGAAGAATCTGCTTCTCTTTTTTTTCTTTTCTTTTCTTTTTTTTGAGAGGCAGACAATGACTGGTTTAAATTCCTTGAGAAAGGCAAAAGGGAGATAATTATCTACTTTTTAAAGATTAAAGAATTTAGCATCCAGTCTAAAATATCAAATGACAAAGATTCGACTTAGATACAGAAAATATGTACTTGGTGTCCTTAGCTTTTTAAAAATAATGATTTTTTTAAATATAAAAATAATTCATAAATTACTCTTCTGTTAAATTGGGGTGCACCTCACTTCTTTTCAGGGCGCATTAGTGCGCCTGAGTGCATCGGTTGAGAAACGCTCTCTAGAATATGGCTGCAAATGTAAGAGATTAAGCTACATCAAAACTACGTTAAACTGAATTGAAAAAAGAGCAGCAGCAAGGGCTTTGGGCTCACCACATTCTGAAACTAATGATACATATCTTGCGAGAGTCAGAAGATCAATTAAATACAGCTAGAATATATAAGCATGACCTAAGTTCCCCACCCACGCATTAGCTTAAACTTGAAGAGGTCGAGAAAAATCAGAGCTTTGCAGGATTAGGTTTAGGAAATGACTGTTTATCAACGCGGGAAACGACATCTACTGCAAAACATTTCATCAGATTATGAAAAAAATCTTCTTCTTCTTCCTTCTTCTTCTTCCTTCTTCTTCCTTCTTCTTCTTCCTTCTTCTTCTTCCTTCTTCTTCTTCTTCTATGTGTCGTGTCTCTTCAGTTCGTGGACAATCATGGCTCTCCACAATTTCCTGCGATTTAAATAAATTTTGCCTTTTTGTTATCTCCCCTAAACCGTGGTCCGTGATCCGATTACTCAAGCTCAAAAAGTAAGTTACGCGTTGTTTTCCTCTCTCTCTCTCTCTCTTGCTTTCAATCTATCCTGTGAGTATCAGATTTTCCAAGTCCTCTTACCTCACTATATGCCCAAGAAATTTTCAACTCTTTCTAATGTTAAGTATAAATGGCCTTTTGTTTCAATTGTCTCCAATATTTCGTCGTGATTCAACCAATGAAGACTGACTGACTGACTGACTGGTAAAGGGGTGGGTGTATTTACATGTGGTCAGTACATTCAGTAGAGATGGCTGGTGCCGATAGTTACATCACCGACAGTGATTTTAAATTTACAGAATGTTTCTCTTTAGGCTCTGGAATAGTGTTTCCCGAAACTTTTTTTTTTTTACTCTAGTGCGCACTTGTAGAATAACTAAAACTCTGATATTCCGACCATGGTATTCTCATCATCCTTCTGTATAACTCGATTTCTCTTGCTTCAAGTCACTACTTCATCTGCGAGGAGATTGTCCAGCGTCCACTGCCGTATAGGAGAACTGATATTACATAACAGTTCAATATTATTTTCTTTGCTTCTAACGAAATTTTCCTGTCTCTTAATACTTTGCTTAACTTTTGGAAGGCATTTTCACTATTCTAATGTCGCACTTTCCCTGTGCTGTTAAAACACTTCCCAGGTATTTAAATTATTGTACATATTTGCTTTTGTTATCTTGAATTTGTAATTAACATTTTAGGCTGTCCCTTTTGTTAACAGCAATACATTCTGCCTTATTGCAATTGATGCTTAGTCCTTTCTTCTCGCTATCCTTTACCACCGTCTGTAGGAGTTCGTGTAGTTTCCTTTCTGTGTCTTCTATCAACACTGTTTCATCTGCATATCTTATGTTGTTAAGATTGGGATTGCCAATACTTGATCCTGATTTCATAAATGTTATAAATGCACAAAAGGACACTTGTTTTGAACAGGGCTAAATAAGGAATTATTTTGATCAATGGTAATATTCATAACGCAAGAATACATTCATTTAGAATCGATATATATAAGCAGCACTTGAAAGATATTTAGACTGGATAATTTAATTGACAAAATGTGTACATTCATTCGAAAATTACTCCACACATTACATGCAACAAAAGTCACAAAGTTTCTACGAAAATGACATCAACATGCTTGTAAAACCACGAGAGAGATGTTAAAAGCAATGGAGACGATGTACTTGATTGTAAAATATTTGTTGTGAATATTGTTAAATTTTGTTTTTAATTTTGTAGTCGAGAACAAACTTTTGCAATCATCTAACCTATTATTTTGTTCAATGGTAACATTCCAAACGTAAGGAAAATAGATTCATCTACAATCAATATATATGAGCAACACTAGAATGATATTTCGACTAGATATTCAAGTACTTTTTTATTTTAGCAGCATATAAAAAATTAAGATATTTACATGAAATAATTAAAAGAAATATTGAATCAAGATTTGCAGAATAAAATAAAAGGCGAAATACGAACAGTGATAAATACAGTTGATATTTTCATAAAGTTTAACAGAAAGCTTCGGAACTCAAATGTCCACAGGTTAAAATAGATTTAATATACTTGGGTGTAGACGTTAAATTAAACAAATGCAGAGAAATAGTGACCAGAGGAATGTGTACTAACCCAAAGTGCTTTGCCTTTCATTAATAACGTCTTTTATCTAAAAGCCTTAAATGCCAAAAGTATTTTTGGTTCTAGGGGATTTTTGCTAGATCCTGTTGAGGTACTATGATTTTTGCTAGATCCTGTTGAGGTACTATGATTTCTTTAAGATCCCCTTTACTTAGGGAATGTATACCTGGTCCAATATCACCCTTGAAAACATGGATACGAGAACTGAACCATTAGTTAAAAAACACTTAATACGAACACAACAGTCTTCACGTTTAATTCAACTAACAGTTGATGGTCTAGACCAAGCTAACTACGTGCCGACTTTTAAAATCATTCAGTGTGTCAACAGCATACGTATTTTTATACAAGTCAAGGTCAATATACCTATTTACAATATATTTTATATAGAAATATATAGTATATATACTTTAGTATATATTGAAATTGAAACAGCTAAATATCTTCTTTGCGTTGTAGTAGTTCGAACATCGTGATGTCTTTTTGCGGCTGCGTGCCATTGGAAACTGCTTGGCGTGCTACGTGTAGCACGCGTGCCATATGGTGCTGAAATAAGAATGCGTCTTTTCTGTTTTCAAATAGAGAAATATCAATGTTTATATATTAAATACGATTTTAACTGAATTAAGCTAACGATTATGACTTTATTTTGTATTTTCCCTGTATAATAGCCTTGTGTCTGACTACTTAACCTCAGTCTATAAAAATCTAGTATATATCAAATTCGACCCTGGCTGACTGTCCGCCCGATATATTATGGCCATGTAGCAAAGAAAATGTAATTTTAGTGTTCGCTAAACTGATTCTTTTCATATCTCAGTATCTCACTTCATATCTATCCTTTGCTCATTTTCAACTCTATCTGTTCATCAGTCTCCAATCCACGAGAAAGTGGGAGGTCTTGCTCTACGATATGAGACAAAACCGAGTCTTTTTTTTTTTTTCGAAAAGATTACTCATCATTAAGTCACATCTCTACGTCCGCTCCACCCACGACACCAACAAAACCAGTGGGAAGATTAATCGTCTCAGACTAAAGAGAAACCAGGTATCGAAGGCGACCACTTCCCTCCCCTCCCCTCCATTAAACATCAGTTTAGCAATAATATGTAATTTGAAGCCACGTTTCTTTCTTTTTTTTTTTTTTTTTTTTTGTTAGAAAAAAAAAAGAAAAGAAGAAAAAGGATAAAGGCGTAACTTCAGGTAGGTCCAGTAAAAACCAATTGACAGCAAAATGAATTTGATACAAGCGGCACAAAACAATACAAACGAGCAATTGGTGAATCAGTTTCCTTCTTTAATTTCTTTGTTTTTATGTACACTAAATTTCGACACAGTACAATATAAATTTCTAAGTATGAATAAGCATGAGAAAAATGCAGACTTTATGTGAGTGTATATTTTATATATTCCTTTGTAGATGAGGTCAGTAGCCGGTTTTCAAACAGTATCTATCTATCTATCTATCTATCTATCTATCTATCTATCTATCTGTCTATCTATCTGTCTGTCTGTCTATCTATCTGTCTGTCTGTCTACCTATCTGTCTGTCTGTCTGTTCATTATATATTTATCTATCTGTTTATGTTCATTATCTATCTATATCACTGTTCATTATCTATCTACGTGTTCATTGTATATTTATCTATTTGTTTATGTTCATTATCTATCTATCTACCTATCTGTCTGTCTGTCTGTCTGTCTGTCCATTATCTATCTATCTATCTATCTATCTATCTATCTATCTATGTTCTTTATCTATTTGTCTGTTCTATGTTCCTTATCTATCAATCTGTCTATACACATTTCTCTTTATCTATCTATCTATCTATCTATTCTATCTATCTATCTATCTATCTATCTATCTGTTCATTATCTATCTATCTATCTATCTAGCTAGCTAGCTAGCTAGCTAGCTATCTATCTTGCAATCGATTGATGGATCGATCGATCTATACTCGGAGAACCTTAATTTTCCCATACTCTGGCCTTTAATAGTTTATTTTAATCATTTCGACCCAAGCAAAGTGATAATCCCTGTAGAACGCAGAATGAGAAGACTTTAGTGAGGAGAAGTGCGAAAAAGGACAATAAAGGAAGAGGTTCTGGAAAACAGCGAATGGCAGTTGACGTTGCATTTAATTTTTTTTGAAGATTGTAGTTATCAGGGAAGCAAGAAATCGGAAGGGAGTTTCACAAACGAGAAATGCGAGAAATTAAACTATTACAATAGAACGGACGGCTGTATCTTGATAGTTCAACAGTAAAACTAGTGGCCAATGTAGCAGGACGCTTAAATTCGCGCAGTCAAGGTACCAAGGAGAACAGCGCATCAGAAGAATCTTATTAAAAGTATTTATAGAAAAGACTGAGGGAAGCCACGTCAGGACGGTAAGAAAGTGACAGAAGCTAGAATGTCAGGTCAGGAACGATAATATTAGATACTCTTTTTTGATTAATTGATTGATTCATAGATTGATCTGTCTTCTACGATTATCAACCCTTTGAAGTTTATTTAAAGCCAGAAAATATTTTTCGAATGTATGATTTTTTTTTTTTTTTTGGTGGGAGAGGGGAGATAATTATCGTTTCCTGTTCCAAGTCTTATTATTTAACCCATAGCTCAGGGAGAAGATGTGGATTCATATTTTTCACAAGTTAGCCTTCTTAGAATTTTTTCAAGAATCTCATGATATATAGTAGGAGCACCAGACCAGATATAGCAGCAATATTTAATGCAAGGACGAATGGTAGATTTATAAAGGTGAAAGATGGATTCCGACGAGGAAATTTGTCTAGCACGTCACAATGAGGTTATAAATTGAACCATTTGCTTTAAATTTTTTAACATTTTTTTAGTTATGTATCATGGGAAAGTAGTAATTCTTCCAGGAATGGAGGTATTAGAAAAAATAATGAACTTTAGTTTGAGGTTTACAGAAAAGCTACCAACAAGAACGGCCTGGACAAATTTTCATTCCCACCACTGTAACAAGTAATGGTTCCTTGCAGTAGTGATTTTCCAAGCATAGCTCTGATGTGGCACAAGGCCGAAAGTATGGAGCACCCAGTGAGGATCGAACTCACTACTCAGTCGTAACTGTTCTAGCGAGACAAGCTTGCTAACCATTGCACCACGCCGAGGTGCCCATGATTCCTTGCAGACGACGTAGCAACTGAGTCGATATAGTCACTCCAATTCATGTCAGTGGAGAACGTGAGGCCAAGATGGCGTAGAGTGTTGCTCTCCTGGAGTTTAGTCTCAGCCATATTGATGGCAGGCAGAAAAGATACTCTGAGGTGGTTACATGAAAGCAGATTTGTTTTGAACGCGTTTACAGTTATCAATCTTCTTACCCCAGTTAACCACTGAGTGGACGTCCTTTTCGAGAGGAGTTGCCAGGTTTATTTTGTCGGCTCTGTCTGCCTCGCTACTAAGGCAGGCCGTAAATAGTTATGCCATTTGCATAGTTACCTAATGACATCGGGAATGTCGTTGATGAAGATCAGAAACAGCGTAGGGACGAAGATAGCGAATAAAGAATTGGATTCAAGCATTTCCAAAGAACTTCTTTCCTATAAAACTAGCACCGGTTTACGAGAGTTGATAACAATCACGCCGCACGCACGCACGCACACACTCACACACTCATACACATACTCACACACACACACTCACTCTCTCTCTCACACACACACACACTCATACACGCACACACACACTCATACACACACACGCACACACACCCACACTCACACACGCGCGAGCACACACACACACACACACACATATATATATATACATAGTCCGATGATCCGCAGTCTTTTAAAAGGGCTGTGGTGAAATAATTTATTACATGGAACCTTAAAGTGGTCTGATTTATTTAATTTATTTGATCTGGATTTACATTGAGCTCTCTGGTTTTATCCTCCTTGGGTTTACCCATACGGATAACCTAGTTTTTCATAATATATATATATATATATATATATATATCCAAGTATATGATTGGTGTATACGTAATAAATTCAACATTGATAAATTAATAAATAATATAAATAAATTAAAACAATAAATTCAACTTGATAAGACATTTAAGGTGTTGAAACAAAATTTTGCAGTGTTTGTGTAACATATTTATGTTATAATTTTAAATAAATAATTATAATATATATATATATATATATATATATATATATATATATATATATATATATATATATATATATATATATATCCATCAGGCTAAAAAATGAAGTACTGTTTTCATATTTGTATTTGGAGCTGCTTAATCTTCTTTTTTTTCAGTCTTTATAAAGTTTAAAGAGTGGTTCAGAGTCCTTCAGGGTGAAGAATTATTCCCCACCCTTCAGCCTCTCTCTCACAGGTGAGATGTTCCGAGCATCTTACTGTTTCCATGGAAATTGCTCGGACGAACCACATTCCTTGATACCGCCAGGTCTAATCTCTACGGCTAGGACCCACCATGACACTCACATTGTAGCAAACCACCCACACTCACTCCGTGTTCCATCGTTGAGAAGTAAGTGTCCCTCGAATAGCTTCTTTCCGAGAACCACTGCTCTGTAGAACAGACTCACAAGAAGACGTTTCGTCGATCATTAGAATCTTAATCTGTTCAAGTCTACGATTAATCGTTGTCTTCCCATCATATAAACTACTTCTTAACGTATACTTCTACCTCGAGTGGCCCCTGGGCCTTTTGAAGAGTGAACCTTAATGCAAAAATATACATAATTAAATTATTATTTACACTATTTACATGTTAACAATTGTCCTCATTTTTATACCTAATGAAATGTGGACAGCACAACAACGAGAAACTTATGATAAAAATACTAAAGAATAAATTGATAGTCGGCGTGGCGATAATGTAAATAATAATTATAACACTTCATCCCAGAAATTTAGACAGAAACATAATTAAATGTCCTTCACTGGGTGATGCACACTTTCGGGCTTGTGACATATCTAAGCTATGTTTAGAAAATTATTAAAGCACTTCGACGTGCTGTAGTGGTTAGCTTAGTTTGGCTCGCTAGATCAATTACGACCGACTAATGAGTTCGATTCTCACTGGGTGCTCCACGTTTTCGGCATTGTGCCACATCTAAAACACGTCGAGAAAATCTCCAGAATTAAATGTTCACTCTGCTTGTCACTATTATATGTTAAGTAAAATTTCATCGAAGCTAAAAAAATTAACGAACGCCTATTTTATTATATAAAGCCACTTTCAAAATGTTTAATTAAAATCTTATTTTGTTATATAAAGCCACTTTCGAAATGTTTAATTAAAATCTTATTTTATTATATAAAGCCACTTTCAAAATGTTTAATTAAGATTTCATTTCATTATATAAAGCCACTTTCAAAATATTTAATAAAAAATTTATTTTATTATATAAAGCCACTGTCAAAATGTTTGATTAAAATTTTATTTCATTATGCAAAGCCACTTTCAAAATATTTAATTAAAATGTTATTTTACTATATAAAGCCACTTTCAAAATACATAAAAATGTAAAAATATATTAACAAATTTTAGAAATATAAAAAATCAATTTAATCATGTGTCACTAAGAATCGAGCCAAGA